TGGGCAGCCCGCACTTTAATCCTAGGTCTGTTGTGCCTGCCCCGCCATGATGGACACATCCCTTGACCTTCGGGAATAACCAGTCGTGCGGTATATTGTCCAGCATGAAGATGTCGTCCGGCACGTCGTCTTGACCCAGGCCACCCCAACCCCTTGAAACGAGAGCCCGAACACCGGCCTTTTTAACGGCATCAAATATCATCCTTGTGAAGGCATTTGCATTTTCCACCACGATAGACCCGAATCCTATATAGATTGGTGGCTCTCCGGCATTTAGGAAGTCCACCAGTGCCTGAGGCGGCTCAAACGTTGATGCTAGATCGAGAAACACAAACCCAGAGATGTTGATTTCCTCACCCCAGTCTGCAGGCTTTGGGATCAGGGCTGGCGACCACAAGTATGTAAACGGAATATGCATTCGATGTATTGCGTACGGAGCCCAGAAAGTAGACACGGCGTCTAGGGACAGCTTCTGCACGCGGAAGTCGTTGATTAGGTCACCTAAGCCTTGCCACGTCATCGTTTCAACAAGGGGATATGACATGAAGTTTGCATATCCTTTGTCACTCCCAGACTTGTTGCCGCCCTTGATAATAGCCAGGGGGTGCGGGAATGCCTGAGTCGGCGTGTAGGGAAAGGTGAAGACCAAATGGAGCGGGATCCCAAGAGCTTCGGCGCAGTGGATGTGTGCAAAGCTGGGCGGGTTGGCTATGATGGCATCTGCAATAAAGATATCTTCTCTTCCCTCCATGGCATCGGCTCTTAGGCTCGTCTCCTCGTCCTCGGTGCCATGGATGCAAGCTCGCCAAAACCCGTCAAACATGACAGCCATTGCTGCTCGACGTCTTCCGATTTCACCGGCTCTCAACGTCTGAAGGGTCGGGACCAGGCCGGGATTTTTCACCATGAACTCCATCAGTTCCGAGGGGTCGCCGCCCACCGAGAAGAATTCCAGTCCGGCCTCTTGTACGATCTCTCGGAAGACCGGGTGCGTGGCGATGCGAACGCGGTGGTGGAACACCTCCTTGAGGTATTTGCCTATTCGCAGGAACGGCTGGACGTCACCGCGGGACCCAACCACCATGATGAGAATGCTGACCTTTTTAGGAATCTGATGAAGCGCTGGTATAGCTTTCATCGGAACAGTGGCTCTCTTCTTGGGACGCATGCTGTGTGTCACGGCGCCCATGGCATTCGCCATGTATCCTGTCCCCTGGGTTTCGTGCACCGAGATGCTTAGCCGGCCATCTCTTTGCGCCCTGCACGTTCCTGTACAGTGTTTATTTAATCTTATGAGTTTTCGAAATCTTTTCTTGTCGGGCACGCAAGGCTTGTGACGCAGGCTCTCCAGTCGGGTGTCTACTTCCCCTTCGCTCTCGGTTGGAGACGAGTCGTTCTGGAAACTAGACGAATCCGACGCCTCGTCCTCCTCTTCTTCTATGAGGCTGTCCATCAGCGGTATCCAAGCTCTGCTTGGGATCGATTGAGCCCGCTCCCGCTTGTCTGCAAATTTGGTTGTCTGCCACATCTCCAACGCCGGGAACCTGCGCTGAAAAGATCCTCCACCTGCTGGGGAGAATTCTGAATCTTGAACCAGCGGATTGTCCTTTTGTGATTGGACTGATTCTCTTGGTTTGCTTCGGAAGCCGGTGGTCTGCAACGGGTCGAGATCATCGTCGTCATTGTGGTGACGGCTCGGCATCGCAGCTGAGCTTTCAGGAGCATCCATGACGAAGTTAGGGTTGAATGCCATGGTTCCGAGCGGCGGAGAGCAGGTGCTAGTCGTGAGCTTCACAATTCTTTCTGCAGGCAGTGAGCTACTCAATCTACCGAATTAGGATGTTCTAATAAGATACGGCACAACATAACATGATATTCAACACCTTTTATCATAGGCGCGCTGACGGGTCTCAGTGTATCCCACTACATTCTTGGAACAAGATCCGCGGGGGCAACAATGTTGGTATCGGCATGATTGGAGTTGCGCAAATGTCCAGACCGCGAACCAAGACGCCTTGTTGCAACGCCGACGCCACTCAAGTCCAGGTTCCCACACCCTCACTCACTTAACTTGGCTAGCGGTCTTGCGAGACTCGGATGCCCCGGATGCTTCTCGGTGCTGCATTAGATGAGATTATCGAGAATGGCTTGTAAATCATGACCACGGTTGAAGACTTGCGGGCCTGTAAGCCAGTGAGGGTTAGTGAGTGTGGCGGACTATCGAATGCTCGCGACTACTACGTACTATGTTGGACTTGGCGCGTCATGGTACTGTTCGCACGGAGTACTACTATACACTGCTGGCTGAGCAACAAGAGTGTCACAGGTAGGTGTCGCCTTCCCATGGGAAGTTCCCGCTTGGATAGCCACGGTGCGTGTCTCTCACTGGCTTGAATATGAAGCAAGCTTGCTGCCGGCCAATAGACTGAGCAGTGAAGTAGTCGACAGCCGTGACTAGTACGTCGTTGCTCCTGCGCATTTCATTATCAGATGTGGGATGGGTGGCTAGCTCTTCCGAAGCCTTCTATGACCATAGCTATGGCTATTGATTTTGATGGAGTGATGTTTCTTTTCTAAGTGGCCTTCAAACTATGACGAAACTGCGCAGTGTCACTGAGGAAAGTGCGGTTGCTTTCATGGAATATTAAAACTCGTCATGCGTCTTCAGCTTTTCGTCATATAAGGCCTCCCTTTGTAGCCCCTGCGTTAGCAGCCGCTTCGGTCTCTTTAGCGAAATCAGCTCGTAGGAGGAGACGTTCTATAGGTACTTGGGTTCATATTCATGGTAATGTATCGCATACTTGGGTGTAAAGAGCACCGCCACACAATATACCCGCAGCTGGGTGTCAAGTTTAGACGACAATTCGCCTTGATCCCTCCAGTGCTAGCCTCATGCAAAGCTTCACTTGAATATAGCAGCAGGCCTATATTGCCTCCACATACTCCGTACTAAGATATCCTATCTACTAGAACTACAAGCTAACAGCCCCAACATCATGAGATAAGACCACGCACGGCCCTTGACGCGTATGCTTGCTCTTTACAGCTTGTCACACGCACGCTTTTGCCCAAGTTATGCATGAGCTGACGACTCCAAACTAACGTCACATTCTGACAAAAGGGATCCAAGCGTATCACCTTGCTCCCCGGCCCGACAAAGACTTCGGATCCGGCAACGGACGATCTCCGTGGCGGCTTTACTTCCGCCACTATATCTGGACGTTAAGCCTCAAGGGGGATAGGTCAATGCACAAATACGAGAGAGTGAAGCCGTACGGGACACGTGAAACTCGTCAGGGATGTGAAGCGGATAGTTCACCGGTTGCTGCTGTCAGGTCAAGGTGCCCCTGTGCGTCTCGGCCGTGGAGATTCGCACAGACAATTTCCCCAGCCTACCCGGCCGTTGACTCCTCAACTCATGCTCCACCACAGGTAGTTGCGAGCGAACAATGCAACATGACTTGTCAACGAATAGCGCTTTTCTCTTTTGAGAAGAGTGCTGTCGTCAGCTTTGGCGGCCAGTTGTTGTCACCAAAGGTGTTGTAACGGGGTTGGCCACGGCTGAGGACTCGGGACCCCAACTAGAGCTCTTGATCAGGAAAATGGTTGGCTGCCATGTATACAAGGACGGGATAACTTGGCTGTTGTCTTGTGAATAGAAAGAATTTCACGGATTCAATCACCTTTGACAGCTGAGCTGGCTGATAGCGTTGCACCTGACAATTAACTCTTGAATCATTCGCCAATGACTTTATCTGGACCAGTTGGTGCTTCCGTATTTGTCGCAAGTTCGTAGATCCCGCTCGATAGATGCAAGAACCACTTGCGGTTAGCCGTTTCACAAGTTATACTACACCGCAGCATACTTTCTCGCAGGGGCTCAGCTGACGTTGCTAGATGCTTAGTTACCGTTACCCCGAGTGTCTTGGCCACCGTACATTACCTGAAACCATCTAAAATATGTATGTTACTGTCCGGAAACCAGACTGTTTTGCTTCGACACCAGAGGCGTTACAAAGAGATATTTGAGTTGGTAGTCGCTTTGTTCGTAAAACCTTGCAAAAATTAAATGAAGCTCTATATAAAGCTTCTTTGGTAGACCAGGCATTGCCGAAGAAGAAGAGGAGCTTGTCGACTCTTTCTATTTCATTAAACATTTTTACTCTGCTCCCCCTTTTCGTAGAAGCTCTTTCGCCCTTTGAATTTCAATATGAAGGCCGCTCTTGTAATACTCTCGGCCATCTCCATGGCGAATGCCTTTCCGGGCATGTCCGACCTCCGGCATGTACGCCGTGCGCAAGACGAGGAGAATACCAAGAAACTACCTGGGGACTTGGAGGGTCAAGACGAAAGCACCATGTCTGAGACTGGGAAGCTCATCAAGAATATCTTGCAAGGCAACGAAACTCCTCAAGACCTGACCACGGCTTATTCTTCGGTTCCGGACCAGAACTCAGCCGAGTGCAAGGCCGACAAGTGTTGCATATGGAAGCACATCGCGGATGAGATGAAGTCCAAGATGACGGGGGACGCCGGACGTTGCAACAACCTTGCGAGACAATGCATTCGCATGGGGTTTCATGACGCAGCAACCTGGTCTTTGGACACGGGCAAAGACGGCGGCGCGGACGGGTCATTGGTTCTAGCTAGAGAATGTTTTGACCGCCAGGTAAACAATGGAGTGACAGACGGCTGTAATCAGATGCAGGCTTGGTTTGACACGTACAAGTCGTTTGGTGTCAGCATGGCAGATCTGATCCAGATGGGCGGTACGTTTTGCACAGCGCACCCATATTGCCTCCCACCAGAGAGTTTCCAGGTGGACAAAAGATGATGGGAGTTGTTGCTAACACGTCAACTGGTCCTCCAGCAAACGTTGCCACGGTTGTCTGCCCCCTCGGACCCCGTGTCCGCAGCTTTGTTGGGCGCAAAGACAACTCCAACCCATCACCAGACGGCCTTTTGCCATCGGCGTTTGACTCGGCCGATCAACTGATTTCTCTCTTCGCCAACAAGACAATCAGTGCCAGCCAGCTCGTGGCCCTGGTCGGCGCCCACACCACCAGCCAGCAGTTCTTTGTTGATGCCAACCGCGCCGGAGACCCTCAGGACAGCACCCCCGGCGTATGGGACACCAACTTTTACGGAGAGACCACCGACGCCAGTTCGCCCAAGCAAGTATTCAAGTTTCAAAGCGATATCAACCTGTCTCAAGATTCTAGGGCCACGGGTGCTTGGACGGCGTTTACCGGGACACATGGACAGCGTCCTTGGAATGGGGTAAGTGACACCACAAAAATATATATATACATATATATGAGCTTTATCTCTTCGGCCTCCCAAAGTGCTCGCAGTAGAATCAGTCCATGTTTCTTATATATTTTTTATATTCTGACGTTTTTATTCTAGGCCTATGCTGCGGCGTACGTTCGAATGAGCATGTTGGGCGTGTATAATACCAATGACTTGACCGAGTGCACAAAGGCGCTCCCGCTGCCCATCACTTCATTCTCATCTCCCGATGCCGCGGCCTTGGCTGACTTTGCAAACGGCGGCGCGCCTGATGCCGCCAAGAACGCTTCCAATGGAGATGTTATTGTAGTGTAGCGCTGATTGGATGCTTTGCAAGACGTCGTTTGTTGCACAGGTGCTCTGAGCGAAGTCTGGCAGGTTACGAGACGGAGGCTTAGACGCATTTTGCCGGATAAAACTGCCACAGTTTATCCAATAAGAATACTTGACGTAATTACCGGAATGTTCTGAAATGATAAATACGAGGAGTTTCGATGGCTGGGAAAGATGAATGACGTGAGTTGTTCCAGTCCCGTGTTGCGCTGTCTTGATCATGTGTCTTGTCCTTCTGCAGAAATGCAAAGGGCAAAAATTGCCCTCTTTTTATCACGGACACCCAAGTTGACAGCCATATCCGACATGTAGCAGGATATTCTTGATAGAGTGGGTTTTGGTTTCTAGTATCTGGTTTAAAACGTGAGAGTGCTGTACGCGCGGTTATAAATGCCAATCAACTACTAGATTTGAAATGAATAAATATGTATACAGACTTATTTTGTACATTTCTTAATTTATCACGAAAATTAACAGCTTTATCGAGCTGTGAATAACTATCTAGCCCAAATAGTTAACGTACTCATTCTTCTGTTGAACGGCAGCAATATGCAGGCGAATGCCCTGCATGCTAGTTACCCTGCGAGGCCCAAGAAGAATGAATTTCATTGAACTGGGTAGACTCGAAGGGAGCGAGGCTACGAAATGCCATATACCACGTTCGACCTACGAACCGTTGCTTCAATGGTCGGAAGAAAACGCAGACTCGGCCCGTGTGGTAACGAGGGAATAAAAAGCCATATTCTCAGCAACTAGAAATATTTCAAGACAATATGGACTTTATATATATTCTCGCTTGCGTACGCTGGTCTTTTAATTCAAAGCTATTAAATCGCATTACAAAGCTCCAACTGCTCCTGTCTCGAGAAGGTATGAAATACAAGAACCAACTCATAGCGTCTGATTGAGACTCCAACGCGCTCTATTTCAGCTACTATCACGGCACGATCCAATACATGTGACCACGGCCACTAGGTAAGTCTGGTTTCGGGCCAGTGCATGTTCCAATGCTTCTACAAATAGAGGTAATAGTGTCCAGCAATACCACATGCAGGCAACGTGTTGTCTGTTGTCCACGGCACTTGTACGTGCCGCCGACGTAACCCATTGCCTCGGTCTGTAGATGCCCAGGCATTCAATGCCACATAGTAGAGGGCCATGAGCTGTTGAGGATGTTGAGGATGCAGCAAGCTCTACAAGGGATACCAGTAAGCCAACATATCTACCAACTGTATTTACCACAGCATCCATAGACACAGTTTGGAGAATTCTTCTTCCTCAAACGGAGCGTCCTCGAGATGCGGTCTTAGTAAAGAACGTAAAGCCACTGCCTTTTCTCTACAAGCTGTTGATTCGGCGAGCATGTCTCGAACTGCATAGACTTTCGAAAGCTTGTATAAAGCTCGAGTCCGTTGGCCATTTCCCTCGACAAACGTCTCAGATATGCCAGTAACGTCTTGGAGCAGTTTCCTGAAAGGTCAGTACTAACACGTGCTTGGTTGCCAGAGACGTGGCCATGGAAGCGGGAGCAAAGAGCGGAGTGACTCGTCGCAAGGTCGCCCAAATGAGGGATGCTACCACGCTCCAATGAGAGTGGAATGATACGAAGTTGTGGTGTGTTGGTCGAAAAAGGTCATTCATTGAATAAGACCCCTAGCAAGCCACCGGCGCTTTGTCTCACAGTACGGGCATCAAATACCTTCTTTGCGTGTGACGGGCTGACGCTCCAAGCGCTGCGGATCGGACCGAAGCGTTCCCTGCACTGGGTCTTGATTAGGGAGACATAAAATGTCCTTGGAAATAATGGCTAGGCATCTATACATGACCTGGCTTGGAATGGGCACTTACTGCCGCTGTCTTGTCGTCCTTCCTTATAGCCAAAATTAGGAGCCTTGTGCTAGCCCAGAATCAGCAACTATCGATGGCATCACAGAGACACTTGTTGAGCTTGGGATATCTATCAAGGATATTTACGAAGCCTACCAGTCAGCCACACAGCTCGTCTTTGCTATATAGGATGGCAGACAATGCTCTACAAGCCCGATCTTCTCTCCCATGCGAACGGAGCATTCAGTATCCTTGACGAGACGGATGGCTACCAAGGTGAAGCGCGAGTCTGTCTCGTTCAGTATCCACACTCGGGAAAACAAGACTTACCTAGTTTTCTTCTTGGGTTCGGCATGATGCTCCCACCCCGAGAATATTGCGCCTTCGACGACGCAGATGAGAAGAAGCTGTTTGACAAGACCAAAAAGATCACCCCAAAGGACCTTAATGCCCACCTGTTGACCAAGATTTGTGGCATTAGCTTCCATGGGTCGACTCTCTTTCTTGTCATGTCGAGTTGGATAGACTTTCTGGCACTCTCTTTCTTTATCGATATCCCTCATTCTGCGTCTCGACTCTTCAACAGCGAAGTACGCAGGGGCAAGAAAATGATGTTATTCATCGCTGTGGGTTCAAAAATCCTGGACCTATGCCGTGAGCAAGCGAGAGGGATATAACGGAGCTGCTTCAGGAGATCTTACTTTCCTATCGGCTGCTCTTTGGTCAAAGTAGGCGATCAAGGAACCTATTTGGCCAGCTGCGACCCTTCCAAGGTATTCCAAACAGTTAATTTGTAGCATGGAGAAGTTGAAGTGCCCAATTAGGCTAATCGAGCGGGAGGAGTGTGATTTGGCTGGAGACTTCTCGCACTTTCGGAGTAGAATGCTACAACTAAACAGTTACGCATCAAGCAAGGAGCCTCGCTCCATCCTTCAGCTATGGCGGGATAAGGGCGACTCTACTGCTTGGATCGCGTTTTGGAGTGTCTGATTTTCGGCTCGGTGAGTATACTCTTAGGTGTGGTGCAGGCAGTATTTCAGATTCTGCAATATGTCCAAGGGACTAGGTAGGGTGGGACTTAAACAAGACTCAAGAGGTCTTTGTATTCATGCTGAACCAAGTTGTTGTTCGCTCCACCCAGCTTGCAATCACGCCTTCGACCGTTGACCGTTGGTTCGTACTCCTTCAAAGTGATTGTGTCCCCATCACGAAACGTTTTGGCTTGGACAAAGACGAGCGGAGGGGGTTTATTCACAACCACCGTCTCTCGCCACTCGATATCATCACCGTCTATACTTGACAAATTCTCATAGTATGTTCGACAGCCTTCCGCATCTGCTGTGCATCGAAACATGCAGATGCAAGAGCATCTTTCCCAAGGCCGGTTTCCCATGTGTACGAATTTTGGACCGGTCCACTCGAACTGTCAAACGCTGTTTGGGCCTATTGTGCGAAATCGTCATGACACCACCACCGTCAAGAAGCAAGCACTTCAGTATGGCAAAGTGAGCCCATATGGTCATAACTTATAAGCAAAGCAGCCTCTGTTGCGAATGCGCATATTTCGGTTAATACTTACCCGACTGTGCGCCTCGCCCCATTTCTAAGAAGTAGAGATGTTGGAAGTCAATTTTCCCTCTCAAATCTTAGGTATAACTTACATTACTTTGCACATTAAAGTTGGAGAGTGCTCGTAAACCATCAACCCCAAGCTGTAAGTACAAATTGTGCGTCACTGTTGTTGCCGCGTTAGTACTATTTAATACCCATCCTTTGGCTGTACTAACAGTCTTCGGCATGAATGTCGGAGGTTTCCGTGAAACCTAACATCTCAAGAAGCTCCGAATCATCCATTAAATAAGCTCCCACAGGTTCAGCCCTACACTCGTCAAGCGTAGTTGCCAGTTGACCAAATTGACCCGTCCAAGTTTGACCTGGCTTGTACCAGCTTGAAATAGGCCTTCTAGTGATGGGGTTGACGGGCGGATTCTCGCCATCAAAGTTGAATTTTCCGCCCATACTCTCGACCGTCATTCGCCCTGTACCATGGCCAAGGAGCTCATGGAGCACAACCCACCAGTAGTAAGCCTGGAGCTTGTGCTTCTGAAGCTGCTCAGCCTCGGCAGCTTCAATAAAAGGGTACTGCTTTGCTTGGCTCCCTGCAATCATCCGATTAGAAATGATGACATTCTTGAACCCATCTTCTTACCGGATACCATTTACTATAATGTGACTGTTAGTCCACGCAAGAAGAGCCGACGATGTCGAGAATCAGAACTGATATTTGGTAAGTTGATTCCCGGAAATATGATGCTTGAGCAGTATGCAAGAGCTACGGACTCTGAATTTTTCGGTATTCATGTCACGGGTGTATTGTCACACACCGTGAATGCTCGAGAAGTCGGGCGGCTCAAATAGACTCCTCTCGAGCGGCCCTTTGTCATCATTCTCCGGCGTTGCCCAGGGCAGTCGGCGAATGAACTTTGCAGAGTTGTCAACTAGTTCAGCAAAGAGCCTGGACTCGGAGTCATCTGCAATGGCCACCGGAGCCTCGAAATCTGCTCGAATTCCCTGCGGGTCGCGATATAGCTCGACAAACCCGAAGATATTTTCTACCCTAGGCGCTCTGTCCCGAACCCGTGGCCGTTGAGACATACGATACATGTCCAGGCTACCGGTTTGGAAGCTTGCGATGTAGGCACTGAGAATATCTCTTTGCAACTCTTTGGCCGCGTATTTGGACGCTTCGTTCAACTCAGAACAATCGAGTTGGAGATCAGACGAATGATCGCCCTTGAGAAGTCTCACATGTCCTTGACCACTTGGGAGAGAGAACTGGGCAACGACTCCACGTTCGACAGATGCAATGAAGACCTCGTATCCAGTGCCATCTTCGACTTTCGAAGCCTAGTATTCTCAGGGAATACAGAGTTTCGCTCAAGAATCTTGGACACAAATGATTGCGTCAGATTCACTGATAGTATTCCCTAGATAGTAGCTGCTTTGAGACGTCTGGCTGGGGAAGCCCAGGTGAAAAGGCGGCCTGGATTGGATGGACTTGTATATCTCCTTATATAGCTCTCAATACCGAGGACCAATCTGCCAGCTTCTTCAAGACATGGTTCTTTATGCCGGGGATAACTTTAGATCCCCGGAGCCCTGTAGAAGTCAGCATTAAGTCATGAGAATATGGATCTCAGCATCGGAACGCACGTAACAGTTCCCAGCCTAAAGACTTGGACTTCATGCACCGCCATTGCGAGTCGACTACTTGGCGAATCCGTATGCTCGAGCGGCGCAGTGTTGGCCTGTGCAGGCTGTATCAACTAGGTATCAGTTGTTGGGCACTGTTGGGAGGGAATGTGCTTACCCTATGAGCACATACAGTAGATCACCCTGTACCATATGTACACTTATCCACACGTGACTGCTCGCCTTCTCCAATACAGCGGCCAAGACAACTTGAAGCGCCTGTTGTGGCTAATGAGATGATTTTCTGTCCAGGGGGGAAAAAATATCACATATGATAAGGCTGGTGTGTCTGACGCATCGCGATGCGTTCATGGTGTCTTGCGTGGTTAGTTACGGTTCCCTGGCTTAGGTACGGCCAAAATACAGTGTTACTAGATGCCCTCTATCTAGCCCGTTTTTTTTTTTTTTCTTTTTTTTTTTTTTTTTTT